ACCTGGTGATCTTCTACCCCGCCGCTTCCACCTGGACGTGGGTGAGCGCCCGGCCCGCTGCGGGCGGGGAACCGTCTCCTGCCCGGGCGAGGGGCATCCGGGCCTGGCCTGGCAGAAAGCCGGGTTCTTTCCTGGTTGGCGCGATGGGCAAGGCCAGCAGTCCCCTGCCGCCCTGCCCGAGGGTCGCAGGTTTTGTGACTGACAGCTGTTTCCTCATTGCAGCTAGCATTTGTCTTCAGCTCGGTGGTCTACGGCACCAGCTACCGGTCCATGAACTCCATGGCAAAGCCGTCTTTCACAGACGATGGCAGCCTTGCCGACGGGGGAATTGACCTGAATATGGAGCAGGGGATGGCAGAGTGAGTGTCCACACCCGCACGAGTCCAGGTGAGCAGGACCTGCTGCCTGAGCGTGCACGCAGAGCCAGGAGAGCCCCCGAAGGAGAGGGCCAGGCCTCAGCTCGCCCACTGGCACAGCCACGAGGGGAGCTAGAAGGCTGTCGTTGTCTTTTTCTGAGAGTGTACCTAAACTGTCCTCGTTATCTGAACGCTTGGCCCAGCGTGAGCCGCTGGATGGGTATGTCAGCCTGGCACGGTCACTGTCCTTAAGGCTGTGGCGCACAGGTAGGAGATCCCAAACAGTTCGGCTGGAGCAGCTTACAGCGGTCTTTCAGTGAAGAACCAGTGCTGACACTGTGCACGCTTCTGCAGCACAGATACACACCTGGTTTTGTTTCAAACCAGCCCTGCAGGTAGCGCTTGACAGAGCAGAGGGGCACGCGCTGCCAGTTCCCCCATCCTGGCCACAAACTGGCCATGTCTGGAGCTGTTCTCCACGCTCTGAAGCCCTCCCCGCTTTCTCAGCCAGCTCCTCTCCCCTCCTCAGCCTTTCTGCCCCTGTGCTTGTGCGTTCCCCTTGGCTGTCTGCAAGGCACCAAGTGCTTGCCTGTCCGGTGTTTGTGGCGGGGCTATAACTCTTTTCCTCAGATGTCCGGTGTAAGAGACTCAGCCGAGGGACGAGGATGCTGGAGAGGGAGTTATTTCTAATGTGACTTGTGAGCCAGGTGCTTTACACCCTCTTCATCCTATAGTGACTTGGTTTTGTTGCAGCCAGGCATTCTCCCGTTTTACACTGGTTTGGCTCTCCTGACTAGAAGCATAAAATATTTTGATACCTTTTTTTTTGTGAGACACAACATGGGGCAGTCGAGTAAGGGAAATCCAGAAGTTTGATGTCACCTAGGGGTATCCTCATAGCTGTGGTGTGCAAGGCACCGACGCAGAGTGGGTGCCCCCATAACTGCCCCACACACGTGTGGTGACTCTTGTCAGGGGGAATGACTGGGAGGTGTTAGCACAGGGACCCTGCTGACCCTTGAAAAGGCATCAGGCACAGCTGTAACAGGGCTGCAGTCCTGGTTGCAGACAGTCCTTCCCTTGAGATTGGGGCTCCAAGGTTTTTCTGCCTGAGCAATACACCCTTGGGGTGGGTTTTCTGACACATTTCATTTAGTGGATGCTTGTCTGAGGCACGGGCTGTGCAGAACACAGCACAGCTCGAAGGCAGAGCTGTAAAAACAAACCTTCACCACTGAAGTTCCCATCCTTACCCTGTGCCCTTGTACCTGAGCTGGTACAGAGCCGTGAGGGCACAAGTCCTTCACTACTTTCACCTCGCTGTAGGCGAATGCAAAGCACTGACAAACGTGTGGGGGCTCTCTGGCTGGCTCTGTCCCTTTGCCAGGTGAAGCGCTCCACGTGACTGGCTTGGGGATCGGGAAGTGGTGACTCTCAGAAAGCTGGGGATGTTTTCCTTCCTCAGCTGAGCATGCCACAGCAAACCTGTGCGTGCTGTCTTGGAGCTGCTTCTGGAAGGCTGCGGGTTCGGTGGCGTTTCCCTCATACTGTCTAACTGAACCAGACGCTGTGTGTTGCTCTGGGGTTGAGGAAGGCCAATCTTGCTGGTCCCTGAGAGAGCCAGGTTTGGTGGGAGCTCTGCAGTGACCCCTCTGTGGCTGCCGGCGATGCACGAGGTTTCTGAACCACAGCATCCCGTCACAGAGCCGTTGGTGGCAGATTCTGCAGCGTCTTGCATTGATGACGACGTCCCAGCCTAAACGAGTTATTTCTGGTCACTGTTTGGCGCTGTGCTGCCCAGCACGACACGAGCTATTTCATCACCCTTTCCTCTGCCGTTGTTTCTCGACTGCATTCTTGGATGCGACTCGAGTGTTTCTTCCTCCAGCAGATGATGATTTAACGGGAGTGAAGGAGCTGGTGTTTTTCTAACCTGCTGTGGCACTCTCAGGGCTTCTGCTAAAAAAACAAGTCGTCTTTACCTCTCCTGGGTGTCAGGTCCCCCCGAGGGAGGGGTTTGAGGTGTGGGCAGCTTGTCCCTGCTGGTAGCCGCTCTCAGCTCTGCCTCAGGCCGGCGTGGGAGACCCTACAGTCAGATAAGCAGGAGGGGAGGAGGAGCTGTCTGTTCTGTAGCTGGGGTTGTGGGTGATGGCTTGGCTTGTCCTTTTGGCACCCCAGCCCTCTGGTGACCCTGCATGTATCTGTTGGGCTGCATGACGGCACGAGGAAGACCCACGCGTGCCCCGGAGCCGCCAGCCGTGAGCGGCTGCGCTTTACACCACGACACGTGTCAAATCAGCAGCTGCAGGCTGTGGGGGTGGTGGTTTTGCTGCTGATTTCCACCCCCCTGCATTCCTCAGCCTTCTCAGTGTCCCTTTCCAGAGGGAGCCTAGCTCTCACTCATCAGAGCTATTCATTTTGTTCTGTTTCCTGCCCCAATTCTTCTAGGTGACCGTGTGAGGAAGCACAGCTGCAGGACCAGGGCCAGGCAGGGGCGCTCCCGGGGGCGGTGCGGACAGGCTGTGTTGGCAGAGGAGCTGGTGTGTTTGGCGGGGGCTGGAACGGAGGGTTGATGTTTTGCCTTTCTTCCCTCAGGCACCTCAAGGATGTGATCCTGCTGACAGCCATTGTCCAAGTGCTGAGCTGCTTCTCACTCTACGTCTGGTACTTCTGGCTCTTGGTAAGCCCCCGCGGTTTTCCTCGTTGTCCCTGTTTTTCTGTTTTCAGAACTGAGGATGTTATTTCTCTGTTTTGTCCTGTTTCAGGCCAAAGCTGTTTTCTAATAAATTTTTTAATCTCCCTGTCAAATCTTGTTAAAAATGAGGCTGTACAAGGGACAAAGTCCTGATCCCTTTGAGTCAGCCACACAAAAAACTAGGCTGGCCTTGGCTTTTCTCTCTGGTTCTGTGAAAGGGCAACAAGAAACACGAGGCAAATCAAAGCCATCTTTGTGCCTGGAGCCTTTTTGTGACGGTGGCAAACAGACCGCGCTGCCTCTTGCTCGGTTTTGCGCTCATTCTGCAGGATGGAGGGAGGCTGGGAGCTGCTGGACGCTGTGCCGCTTGGTAGAGCCAAGGCTGTGGGCTTTGATTTCCCCTTAACGCCCCAGACTCTTGCTGTTCCTGAGACATTTGTCATGGGCCTCCAGGTAAAACTGCAGAAGGGTAAAACACGTCTCCAGGCAGTTAAAAAAAAATCCCACAGTTGCTTTCGGTGTGTCCCAGAAAGGTTTATAAGGTGATTTTGGGAGCGTAGGACGTTCCCTTGTTTCAGTCCTTACAAGTCCCTTTCTAGCTGGCCTGGCACAGCGCAGCCGTAACTCCGACTGTCCCCCAGAGACCATCCAGGTCACATTTGTTTTCATTTGGAGAAATGAGGGGTGTGTTTTCCGAAGGATGGAGAGGCAGAATGTCTGGGCCGTTGGATCTTTCTGGGTAATTCAGACCCGATGCTGGGATTTCCGTGCACGGAGCCTCAGTGCTGTGTACGTATGCAAGTTCCTGAACCATATGAGATCAGGCAGTTTATTTTGGGTGCTTGCCACTGCCTTTGATTTCCGTGCATCCTGGGATGCCTCTGATCCAGCCTGCAAAGATATTCCAGCTCTGTCTTCCTCGGTAGGCCCAGCCCTCCTGACCGTGACACCACCCTGCCAGAGCTGTCCCCAGAGTGACAGAGTTTGTGCCACGCGTGTTTTGCAGGCTCCGGGGCGTGCTCTCTACCTCCTGTGGGTGAACATCCTGGGACCCTGGTTGACAGCCGACTCTTCGCCCGCCGGTCAGGAACCGAACGAGAAGAAGCAACGCCGCCAAGAACGCCGCCAGATGAAGCGCTTCTAGCCCCGGCTGGGCTGACAGATGAACGCCGTCTCTCATCTCCGTGCTGTTAGTTCATCCGGGGTGCGACCGAAACCAACCCGAACCCATCGCAGTAGCTTTGTTGCCCTCAGTCGTTGCTGCCATTCCGCTAGAAAGGCCGCAAGAGACTTCCCTTGGCTGGCTCTTAGCGCTAGTCGAGGCCTTGCTCCTTGGGATGACAAGGGGAGTGATGCTGGGGGGGGTGTAAATACCTTTTTAAGCAGCGCTGTGTCACGGTTGAGGTTGGGGATCGCGGCGTTGGAAGAAACGGTGCATTAAAGAGCAGCGTATTCCCCGTGCTGGCAGCGTGTTCGTACGGGGCTGCTCGCACAGCCCAGCCGTCCGAGATGCCAGCGTGTTACTGCAGACCCGGCCCAGAGGGAAGCGAGATCCCCCCAAGACAAGTGGTCTGACCCCTTCCCAAGCTTGCTCTGCCCTGCCCTGCCCTGCCCGCCGCAGCACCCGCACCCTGCCATGCGCTGGGGATGTGGCCTGCAGCCAAACTTGGAGCTGTTGGGTTTGAGCCTGGATTTGCTGGAACCACGAATTGGCCTGTGCGGGAGCTCAGTGGGATGAAAGGCTCCAGCTAAAAGAAGCCAAAATGAAATCTGCTGGTGGGGTTGTTTGTTGTTTTCTTCTTTCAACTCGACTCCCAGGGGTGGCGCAGCCGGGGTGCCACGACTGCGTTAGAGACCAGGAACAGCTCGGGGCAGCTTCTGCGTTCACCTACCTTGATTTATTAACGTTGGCACTGCCCGGCGTGTTGTTTTACACCCTCCGGTGCCCCCTTCCTGCTCCTGACGCACCAGCTCGGAGCCACGCAGCGGTGCCTGTGTGAGTGAGACCCCCCCATCCCGCTCGGTGACCGCAGCGGTGCCAGCCTGGCTTTTGAGCCACACAGTGTTTCCATTACATTGTTTTTTATTACACGCTTTTCCCCAACATCCAGCCCGACCTCCACCCTGAGTCCTCCCGTACCTCAGAGTGGCTGTAGCTGGGGTGCAGAGCGATGGTTAACTGTGGGGAAATACCTTGGAGCTGGGGGTGGGGGGCGCGGAGAGCAGAGATTGATATTTGGAGGATTAAAGGCCTTCCTGCTGCTGGTGGGTGGGAGGAGGGAAGGGGAAAGGGAGCTGGAAACGCATACAGGGAGCAATCAGCCCTTATTCCCTGCCAGGCACAGCCCAGAGCCCCCAGCCCCAAGTTGGTGTCCCTGCTCTGCACCCTAAAACTAC